CTGGCAATAGCAAACCTCTGCCAGAGCAATCTCCCAGCAAGGCAAATCCTCATATAACTGCTCCCCACAAAGGGACTACGCTTCTTCCATGGCCCAACCATTAGAAGCTATTTTTACCTGCTTCCACACGCACAGATGGGCCAGAAACAATCCAAGCTCAGCACCCGTTATGCTTTGCCCAAAAGATTTGCTCCCTGCTTTTGCTGAGCTGCCAAAACAGTTGCAAAGGAGCAGGTAAAAGTGAGTAAGCGATGGCCAGGCAGCTGCTGGAGCGTGCTGAGAGCAACGGCTGGGGATGACAATAGAGAGATGGAAAAGAGTTATTCATGTTTCCCCGAGAGCCGAGATCAGTTGAAACATCATTTTCCTTGGGGATGGAGAGGAAAGAGCTCCCTTCAAACACATCGTCCCATGAGACTCATTAAAGGCTCATCAATTACAGTGAGAGCAAACAATTCAGGGGAAGCTCTGATAAGCCTTCCTTTGGCCGGCAGTCATTAGCAGCTCTCTGAGCGCTGCCTCTCCGCAGCACCAGCTCAGGGAGCAGAGAGGGAGCAGCGGGGCAAAGCCACACGGGTAAGGGTGAAAAGCAGGAGCCCAATGTCTCAGAAACCAGCAGGAGGGACCAGTCTCCACAGAATCCCTGGGGACACACAGCAGCATCCTCGTGGTGAGCACAGGGTGGAGAGCAGTGTGCAGGCTGGGCTGGAAGAAGACTTGGAAAGGAGATGGTAGCCCACTGTAGTGGACTTCTGCTGCTCCATGTCCTGTCCCAGGATTTTTTAAGGAGCTCAGGGCAGTGTTGTCTCCACAGGAACTCGGTGGAAGGTGCAAGGGGACAGAACAGCTCTCTGGCTCTCCAGCCAGCAAGTGGTTCCTCCAGCCCTACCCCACACAGCAGTGGGGTCACTGCATCAGTCCTGAAGGGGGGTGCCAGCACCCCAACACTGTCTCAGCCCCATGGGAAGGGAGAGGGATAAGGAGGTGCTCTTTGCCTTTCTCTGCCTTACTTCCCTGCACTGCAAGTGGGGTTATGGCCAAAAAAAAGAGGTTGCAAAACACATAAGAATCTTTGGAAGGAAAACAAAGGGCTGGGAGGACTTTTTAAAATCACTTCAAAAGTCATTATTAATGAAAGGGGCTGTTTTCCCAATCCCAGCATGGCTTCTGCACTCACCCCCTTCCTCTGCATGGGCACCTCCTTCCCTCACACGTGGGCTTGGCACCAGACACCTCTCCAGCCGCTCACTGCTGTGACCTCCAGGATGCTGACTTGGAGAAATGCAGGAAACTGTTCTTTATGGCTGGGAAAAAAAAAAAAAAAAAAAAAAAAAAAAAAGGAAGGACACTTTCCTGTAAACTTTCCTTGGCGCTCCAAGCTCCGTGATGTTCCCTGGTGGAGGCACTGGCAGCATCAGATCACACTGCACCACTCTGAGGAAAGGCAGCAGCTGAACAACTGCACTAAAATAAACTCCTAAATACCCCATTGTGCAAACTGTAACATCCTGGGCCACACAGTGCCCCAGCCTCCCTTGCTGGGAACAGTGTGAGCCTCTCTCTGTTTAATGCACAATGCAGTTGTGTGACCTGCTACCCAGTGCAGGATGGGTGTCCCCAGGCTGTGGGTGCTGCTCACGGATGTGCTCTGGGGCTGCTCTCCTCGGGCTCTTCCCCACTGTGGGCTCTGAATGCCCACCGAGAAACAGCACTGTCAGTGTGTGCCTTGACCCACGAGTTGAAGGAAAAACACTCCTGGCTCTTCGTCCCTCCAGAGCCAGAGAGACCATATTGCAACCAGCACTTTGCTGGAGCAGCCCCGGGGCTGGAGCGGGGCCATCGCTGCAGGACACGGCGCAGGTGTCTGCCCCAAGCCTGCTATTTAAACCTCACTGCTAAGTAGCTCCTAACCTTTCCCTTCATCCTCTCCTTCCTGCCATGGCTGGCCGCCGAGGAAGACGGGCAGAGGCAGGCAGGACTAGCAGCTCCCACCCAGGGGACTGGGCTAATGCCATTTACTCCAGTCTCTGCCAGCTGAGTCTTGGCTGTGCGCAGACCATCAACAAGCACATGCCCTTGGGCTGCAGGCCCAGAGAAGAAGGCAGAGAAGCCTGAAGAAGGAGTTGAAGATGAGCCTCTGAGCCCAAGCAGAGGGAAGGCTGGGATGCAGAAACCTTCTCCCCAAAACAGGGCTGGCAATCAGGGCTGACTGACAGCACTCGGCTGTTGGCCATTAAATAATGCAGCCTGATTGATTGGGCTGAAAAGTGCTGTGCTGAGGGGTCAGCCTGCTGGGGTTACAGTTCTCTGCTTAGATTGATGATCCTCAAAGGTCAAATTCAGAAAGCAATTCCCTGGTAAAATTGATCCTTTGTATAAAAAAACTTCTGCACGGTGGCAAAGGGCAAGTGAGAAAAATCAGTGACCTGGGCCCAGGCAGGCAAGGTGAATGTCTGCCTCTGCTTTCTCTTTACTTAGTTTTCCTTGTTTGCACCAATTAGGAAGTGAGGATCTTCTCTGGGAAGAGCAGAGCTCCATCACACCTACATGCAGAGGCTGGGGGACCCACCCCATCTCCATCCCGCTGGCCAGGGTAGGAGGCAGCTGGGGCTGTCCCAGGAGCTGGTGCTCAGCTCCCAGCCCTCCTCAGCAATAAGTGAGCAGTGTGTGTGTATGAGCAGACACATCTAACTGCTCTTGTTTTCCCTAGAGCAAGAAGTCTGGGTCCCACTGCTTGGTGAAGGTTTTGTAGCTGGAGCCAAATTAACGGTGAATAGGTCTCGCCCTCCTGCACTGCAGCAGATTGGAGCCAGAAGAAGCACCTCAAAACATCTGCTTGGCTCTTGGTGGGGGATGCCAGGAGCAACGATGTGCTATGTGTGGAGGGGGTTATTGAGGCTGTCCCAGGCCACCTTGGAGACCAGGTGCTGGCCCCCCAGGGCTGCTGTCCCCACTGCAAGACTCGCAGGGTCAAGGACTGGAGCCAAGCACTACCCTCCATGTCATCCCAACCTTCAGGGAAAACAAGGGGCATGACAGTCCCTGCATTCCTTGTACCCACTCCCTGGGGCTCTTAAACTTGCCTTCAGCTGGATTGTGACGCTGTGCCCTGGAACTGGTCCCATCCCCTCACTCCCACCACAGGAGGAGGGAGGAGAGCTGCAGCTCCCAGAAGCTGTTGCTCTGTTCAAGCTGGGCCCAGAGCAGCAGCAGTGAGGCTTTGACCTGCTTTAACCCACTATCTTGCCTGCTTTGCTCTCGTCTGCTCGTTTTGAAGTGAGAGAAGGAGGCCACGCTGTGTGGACACTGAATAATTCAGAGCCAGGCTCCGCAGCACTCCAGGGCTGGGCATCACCTCTGCCACAGGGCTGGGACAGCTCAGCCAAAATCCTTCCTCACCAGAGGCAGAGGGGACACGGAGCATCTGAAATTCAGCCTCCCTCCTGTGTAGGTACCAGCCAAAGCCACTTCCTCCCCCTTGGATTTGTGACTTGCTCCCAGAGCACCGATGCTCAGAGGCTGTTAATGCTTTCAGCCGTGACACGGCATCTCCAGCTCTCACTAACACACAGTTTCAAGTGGAGCATGCTGAGTGTGTCTGCCTCTGCTCCCTAGAACACGTTTTCTTCCTTCCTCCCTCTCTTTTAGAAACTGCAAAATTCCCTCCTCTGCTTGGTCAGAGACAGGGCAGGATTGTAAGATGGGGAGAGAGATCGTTCATCCAGCTTATGCTGAGCCTCTGAGCGGGGTTTGCTAGAATTAAGGACAGGGAGGGGAGGGGGGGGAAAAATCATACATGAGGTCAGCTTATCCAGCCATGCGTGAGGAGAGCACAGCAAAGGCAGCCTTGGTGGGTCAGGCAGGTGGCTGGGGAGCTTCTTTGGGGGCTCCAAGGGAGAGGGGGCGAGGCACCAGGAGCTGGGGGGCATGCGCAGCACCAGCTCCCAGCTCCCAGCCTAATCCAGGCTGTTTATCCCAGTGCAGATAGAGCACAAGGAGCAGCAGCCCATGTTTCCTCTGTCTTCTCTGCATGTGGCTCATTCCCTCAGCTCTGCATCTCTTCATCCCTGTAAAACAAAGTGTTGCCCCATCAGATTTCACCCGTGCACAAAAGGCTCAGTGTTACTGTTTTCCTAATGGTTCTGCTTCTGAGAGTGTAAATTATCGCACAAAGCATCGGGCTGTGCTAGGGATCGACTGTCTGGAATGAAATGAGATGTTTTGGTCCCTAAAGTCTCTGTCTGATGGTCTGAGCTCGGGCCCAGGAGTCACCAGAGCCACGTGTGAGTTATGGGCTCAGTCTCTGTGCTCTGCGCAAGTCACCTCCGGAGTGTGAGCAACAGGAATTATTGTGCACAGAGATAATTATTCCCTGCATACTGCACTACAGCTCATTAAAAGTTTCTTAATGTTTGCAAATTGCTGAATAGTGTTTTTAGTTGTTGCCTTCTCTGATGAGGCGCATTCTGATGGTGACTTGCTCTCTGTGTTATTTTGGTCACAGCAGGCTGGGGAAAAGGGTTTGTGCTGTGCAGCTTCACACCATGGGAGAAAACACTGCTGACTTTATCACAAGGGGCAAGGGCCAAGTCCCACCAGTGCTGGCCATGCTCCTCCATCTAAAGTCCAAGACTGCCTCCCAGTAAAAGGGTAATCACCCAGTTTTCTGTAACAGCCCTGAAATGTGAGTGACTCCTTCCTGGAGTCTCAGCTGGAGACATTGACTTACCATTAAAGTCTGTGCTACTGCAGTCGGATGGTGGGAGGAAAGCATCTCTCATCTTGGACTAGAGACAGCAGATGCACCAGGGGCAAGGAATTGGACATCATAACTCCAGCACATACCTGGGGAAAACAGCTGAGTTCAGTGATAAAGTCCTGCAGAAGATGCAGAAAGGGGGTGACCAGCCTGGCTTCAGCACTACATTTTCAGCACTACACCGGGGGCAAAGAGGAGCAGCAGTGACACCTGACAGCTCTTCCCTGTCTTCCTCCTCCAGGTGTAAATGCAACCTCCACGCTAACCTGTGCACCTTCAAAGAGGGCAGCCTGCAGTGCGAGTGTGAGCACAACACCACGGGGCAGGACTGCGGCAAGTGCAAGAAGAACTTTCGCTCCCGGTCTTGGCGAGCAGGATCCTACCTGCCTCTCCCTAACGGGTCCCCCAATGCATGTAAGTAACCTGCAGGGAGCCAGCCCTGGCTGCACAACACCTTGGGCTGCACAACACCCACAGATGGGAGCAGGGTCTCGTCGTGTCCTTCTCCGACTGGAATCGGTGCAGGATGCTCAGCTTTTGAAAGGGAAGCGGGTATTTACCCCTGTCTTTGTACACAGAGACATGAAAGAGGATCTGGTGGATGCAGAGGTGGTGTGTTGGCTGCTGGTAGATGAGCAATGAGCCTAAATGATGGTCAGGAACAGGGAGGATGACCTCGGGCCAAGACACAGGTCCATGGCTTTGTGGCAGTGCAAATTATTGTCCGTTAGAGAAAGCATTGTTAACCACAGCAGAGCACTGGCTGGGGAGTAGGAGTAGCAGCGCAGGTTGATTCCTGGATCCCGTTCTGTGCACGTCAGTGTTCCAGGCAAGCGCCGCGAGCTCCGGTCCCTCTGCGCAGCTCCAGTCTCATCCAATTGCTGCTGGAACAAGGCTCTGACAGAAGCAAAGGCGCGCAGGCAGGATGGAGGATCCATCCCCACCATCGCTCGAGCAGGGGAATTGGGGCAGGAAACATCACAGATGGGCCGGTTCCTCCTGGGTTTCTGTCCAGTCCACATTAGCAGACTTGTTTAAATGTCACAGAGCCACGGTAGCCACTCCAGCCTTTCAAGCAGCAGCTTTGAGCGTTGCCAAAGAGAACCTTTTCCCTCCCACCCCCCCAAATTTTTTTGAAAGATTCATGTGCTTTAAGATGATCAAAGCTGAAATTCAGGCTCCGAAGGCCGTGACAGGAATGTTTTGTGTGTGCCAGGGCTGGTAGACGAGCAGGTTCTTTGAAAGGGAACGAGCTTGTCAGCTCCCACCAAGCGGCTGCATTGCTTCAAAGGAGCCTGGGAGAGTTTCTGGTGTTGACAGGCACAGACATGCTGTTCTGTCTCTCTCCCTCCCCTCCGTTCCTTGTGTCTCTTCCTATTTCTCTTTCTCCTCTGCTTGCTCTTCTCCCATTCATCTCTCTTTCCATCTGTCACTCTGTCTTCTTCCTCCTCCCCACCCCAACTCTCTCTGCTGCTTCCTCCTCCCCACATCAACATCCTCTTCCTCTGCAGCAGAGGCAGTTCTCTGAAGCCCTCTCCTCTTGGTAGTCCTACCTCTTCTGTTGCTACTCCTGTGCTTTATATTCATGCAGAGCTGAGACTTTCCATTATTTACTCACTTGTTACAGCAGGGAGGAGCAGGGCCACTCATCTCCTGGGTGCCAAAAGCCAGCAGCTGGTCCTTGGATGGACTTTGGAGCTGGTGCCTTTGCAGCATCCTGTGGAGCAAATACTGCAGTGGGAAGAGTGTCCAGCCCTTCTTGCTCACTGAGAACTGGTTCCCTACAGCTTGTCCTTAGCCCACTGAGCCTCAGAGGATGTGCTTGTCCTTTGCTGGGCTTTAAAGCAGGTCAAGGAAATGGTTAAGAGGAAAAACCATCAGCAAAGGCCACGCTGGTCTTCCTTCCCCACATGACAGGGTTGAGATGCCAAGACCCCAGACAGCACTGTCTGGTTGCTTCTGTGGTTTGACAAAAGCAGCTTTTAAGCTGTTTGTTGCAGCAAACTGATGTGCCCATGAGCAAGACCCCCACTAATTAACTGCTGTTTGGTCCAACGTTGTGTGTCTGTGTGACCTGCTGGTAACAGAGCTGGTGGTGCCCTGCTTCCAGTGACTGGGCTTCTTCTTCTTTTTTTCCAGGTGCAGCTGCAGGCTCAGCCTTTGGCAGTAAGTAAAACCCAAACTGAAATGCTGGCATTTAACACCTCGGTGCATGGTCCTTGTGGATGTCACTAGGAGAAAGAAATATGGTTATTTTCTGTCCATTATCGTTTTCCAGGCTATAAGTCTTCCCTAATTGTGCCTCATTTTCTGTCTTGTCAAAGAGTCTTACATTTTCCTCCTTTGACTTCAGGAGCCTCATTTTGCCTCTTCCTCTGGCATGGTTTCCCCCCATGAGGTTCGTTAGTATGGCAGCCGGAAAGGAAATAAAAAAAGACTCTTCAAAATCACCAGCGCTCGCTGTGAACTCCCCCCACCCCTCCAGGATTGCAGAATTCTGCTCTGAGAAGGAGCTGGGTGTGAATTATTTGGCATAGAATCCAGTCTGGGTCATCTTGGGCTATCAATAAAAAAACATATAGAGCATGTGTACATCTGCATGTACACGTGTATGTGTATGAACATATGTCTGTGAAGTGTCGGCAGCAAAGGCAGCAGAGCTCAGTGGGGATTTCTGCTGCAAGATTGATGGGATGAGAGGACTCCTTATTTAACAAAGCTGGAGGTAGTTTGATATCAAAGAGCCTGGAGTTTTGGGTAAGCAGAAGCCTGGGTTTGAATTTTGTGGCTCAGAATTCCCCTCCAGAAGAAACAAATCAGAGAGCTGAATGAATAATGAATTCTTTGGTTTGCAGGCAAGTGGGAAGAATTGGAGGAGAAAGAGTTTCAGAGAAATGCAAATGCAATTAAGAAAAATGCACCTAATTGACAAGTGGAGGACAGGTTTTTTGGGTAAATGAACCACATTTAGATTTTAAGCAGTTAAATGCTTAAAATTTTCAAATGAAAATTAAAAGTCTCCCTTCAGTAATTTAGAATTAGAAAAAATAAATGTTTCAACAGTCCAAAATGTTCTTCACCTTCCTGGTCAAAACCATTTTGATAACTCTTTTTTTGCCCCCTTAACAAAGCTTGGCATCCTCAGTGCTACCTTTGTTTCACTGGAAAACGTTTCCCATCAAAATTTGCTGCTGGAGAGAAGCTTTGGGGGTGCTGGGAGCGATGTGCAGGAGGTGGACAGGAGGGATTTGTGTCCAGGGCCAACTAAGGAGAGATTATTTAGCCCGCACAGGAGACTAGAAGTGACCTAAATTAAGTATTTAAACTAGCTCAGGGCTATTATGAAATTAAGTATGATAATCTGCATGAAGCAGTGGGACAAACAAGGACAGGAGGGCAGCAGGTGTAAGTTAAGTAGGAATTTGTGTTGGAGTGTTATTTCAGTTCGGGCTGTTGTGGTGCCGCACTCAGGGCTGCTCCTGTCCAGCTCTGTGGGGGCTCCCTGACCCTGACCCATCCTTTAATTTGCAGGGTGCCAGTGGAAATGAACAGGTGCCAGTGATCCTGGTTGGTTTTGATGGTGCTGAGTAGTTCGGGGGTGTCAGGAGGGAATGGTGCTGGGTAAGGAGCACAGCTGGGCGCGTGGACACTGGGCAGTGGAAGCACAGCTTGGGCTGGGAGTTCATCCCGCCTGCAGCTCACCCCATCCCTGCCCAGACATGCCTTCATTTCCCCTTTTCAGCTTAATTGGCAATTAGTTTATGATAGAGCTGTAAGTATTTAAGCCAATATCTGCACCAACAGAGTAAGCTGATACAGGCACAGCCTCCAGCCCCTGCACACACACACACACACACACACACACACACACACACACACACACACAC